TATATATATATATCTGCCCCTATTAAAAACAACTTACTCCAAGCACTAACCTAACTTCATGTGAGGTTTTTGTTTTAAATTTTGACCTGCAAACCTTTCACACATGTAACAATTTAAATTAGTCTGTTAATAGTTTGTTTAATCATCCTTAACAAAAGTACAATAGTGCAGACGTACATTCCAGAACATATAACGACGGGTTTGTTGCAACAACTTAATATTTTTTTAAAAAGCCGTACAAAGGMGTCTCTAGTATGTGGGATGCTAAGACCCGGAAGTGTTAGGTGGACTTTGCACATGCGCACTCGAAACTGCGCCTTCGTCACGTGACGCTGTGATCTGCAGCAGCAGCAGCCATAACCAGACAGGGCAGGTTTCTGTTTGTAGTGTAAATATTGGCAAAATAGTACAATGAAAATAAAGGCTGATTATGACAAAATATTTAATAGCTATTAATGATAATATTAACCAAAATAGTATTAATATATTAGAGTGTATGTAAGCTATTATCATAAAAATGTAAAAAAAAAATGAAATGCCAGAAAGTTGTGTGTGCTATGGCTGTACCAACAGAAGAAAAAGAGGAAAACGTGTCTCATTTCACAAGTAAGCATATTTAATCTCATTTACCTAAATATGGATGTGATCTGACCAGAACTGAAGCCATTAATGTACCAGTTTAAAATAAAATTAGCTTTTAAAGCCAGAATAATAATGGACTGCCAAGTAGATATTAGCTTCTGTAGCAAACACAGAGTGTAGCACTGCTAAATCATGCTACAATTTGGCAAAAATATTACAAGCTGCTGTTGCCTCTGTCTGTTGTAATATTTAAAGTGTAAAATAATCTTATCTAATTCACTGTTTTTAGGTTTCCATTAGACAACCCTGACCTGTTGAGAAGATGGTTAACCAACATCAACAGAGACAAGTTTTCTCCAACAAAGCATCACCGGGTATGCAGCGAACATTTTCTGAGTAGCGACTTTATGAGAGATAAATAATGGGAAATATTAGTTACAATACCTAAGCTGTGCACTAAATCAGTTTCTCTTTCAACAACTTTAATATGAGTGCATATCTGTATATATATACAATGTTTTTATTTACATATATAAATATGCCAATATATACGTACTTAAAGCTATTAACACACCTCAGTTCTAACCATCTGACATTATTACATAATGGAAAAACTAGCATATAACTATAAAATCATTTCATTTTATGTTTTATTATTTTCAGGTGTACACCCAAGGGACGACAACTTTGCGATCACACACTGCGAAGCCGCTCCCACAGTATTTCCTGAGCATCTTCAATGGAAGAAGCATCACAGGCATCTGCTCAGAAATGGACCTCACAGCAAAAAAAATAAGAAAGGAGAAACCAGGCTTGTTATACGGTTCATTTTAAAATCTCTTTGCAATTGGCTGCAACTWGAAGTTTACCTGTTAAAAAAGGTTATTATTCAACCAGCTAAAACGTCTTGAAATCATTAGAAGTCATAACAAATGTTTGTGTTCCCTCCAGATGTTCAGCAGCTGGTGCTGACTATAGAGGATGTGCTGGAAGAGCAGAGGCCCGATGTGGACCAGCAGGACCCAGAGCCAGTCCACATCAAGGAGGAAGAGGAGGACGACTGGAGCAGTCTGGAGGCAGAGCATCTCAACAGCACAATACCGACTGAGGTCAATGGGTTTGGTTTCACCTCAAATCCTTTGAAGAGTGAGGATGATGAAGATAAGCCGTTCCCACAGCTTTATGTGTGCCAAGTGGAAGATGGAGAACTCTTAACCCGCACATCAGCTGATCCAATGAAAGCATCAACAGGTGGAGAGAACTGTGCAGAAATAGAAATCACTTGGAATCCAGACGACACAGATTCCTGCTCTTCTGAAACTTCCATTAGTGAGGTTGATGATGAGGATGAAGATGAGGAAGCTGACGCTCAGCTGAGTATCTCATCAGACTCTGGATCAACATCTGCAGGCAGTGACAGTGGCTGGATGGAGAGCAGGGCTTCTGCATCGGGTGTAAACACCATAATCAACTCTGTTACRTTTTCAGATCACCGTGAACAATTTGGTACCAATCAGTCTCCTCAGAGAGACGTGACGGGTCGTTCAGGAAGAACATCTTCCACTTGTTTTGTTATTGAAGAGGATGTTAGCAGGAAGACTGCTAAGAGGCCCTGGTGTAGAAAATTAAAGAGAAAAGTTCCAAATTTTATGGGAGACCACAACTATGCATGAAAATAGGTGGCTGTTGATACAAGAACCCTACACAGGCAAAATATTGCAACTTAGATATTGAATGGAAGTTTTTCAGAAATTGTTTTCAAGGCTGTAGTTAGTTTTCTAAAAAAAACAAAAACAGGTTTATTTGTTAGGATTTAGTGTTTTTTTTAAGAGAGTCTTCGTCCATACTCCATTCCGGAAGGTGGCGGTAATGCGCTTAAACGTTGTTTGCCAACCACCATTAAACTTCAACAGAAGAAGAAACTCACTTGTGAGACCGGAAGTAGTAGTTAGCAGCGGAGCATGAACCGCGGTTTATTTGAAAGTAGTTTTTATTCGGTTTCACAGATAAAAGATTTTATTTTTATTTTGTTTTTTTGACATTCATTTAACAACCAAGTGGACCCAAGATGGCCTTGCGGAGTTCAGGTACGTGTTGTGCTGTTCGCGGCTGCACGAACAACCAGACCAAACTAAACCTGTGGGTACAACTGATGTTTTCAACACGGACCCAAAACAAAAAAAGAGTGTTCCTGTGAAAAGCGGTATAGTTTCTATCGTATGCTTACAGACAGAGACTCAAAAGAATGTGGCTGAAAAATCAGAGCTTGAAGAGACCACCCAAAACTGTGTGTTTGCTCATTTCACTTTGTTGACAAAAAGCCGACGAAGGAAAACCCACATCCAGCTGTGGCTACGACAAAAACACTGGAGAAAAAGAGACACCGGATCCAGTTGTTCAAAGGTAATCGGATTTTGGATAAGCCGTCAATCGAGTTGAGTGTAGTACTTCCAGCCATAGCAATGGGGAAGCATGACTTTTGTAGTGTGTATAATTGCTCGAGGCAACGTGAGCGAGTAAAAGACAGCGGAGAACCTTGTTCTTTTTACCAAATTCTTTTAGGAAAATCGAGCAAAGCTACTAAGAGAAGAGAGCTGTGGCTCAATGCGCTTCGCCGCCAGGATGACAAACAGTAAAGTGTGTAATTGGCATTTTTTTTGTCTGGTATTGCAATTAATGATCCAAACTGTGTGGACTACGTTCCTACATTACATCTTGGATGTGCGAAACAGAGAAAAGAGAGAACAACCTCCCGCAGCAAAACAGCACGCTACCCGACAGATGAGAAGCTGGGCCTCGCTGTACCAAAGACCACTGCATTTTATAGGCAGAAACATGGGTGTGCCATGGGATTCCCAGTTTCTCCTATTGTTGCAAACCTGTACATGGAGGAAGTGGAAAAG